TAAACTTTGTAAATATTTTGGAATTTTTGTTGCCAACTGATAAAATATGCATATATTCTTTTGTTAATAAAATTAAATCATCATTATTTAACAATTTAGAATATTTAAATTTTTGAGAACTTTCAAGAACATATTTATCAATTATTGATAGTTTTCCTTCCATTCCATAATTAATTCTTTCTGCTTTTATATTAATATTTTTAAATTTGTTATCATATTCTATTGACCATGTAATTAATTTTTTGGAAGGGTTTCCCAGTCCTATGTGCTCTGTTTCAGATATTTTGTCTCCTGGTCCTTTGTACTCTGCTTCAGGTATTTTGTCTCCTGGTACTTTGTACTCTGCTTTAGATATTTTGTTTCCTGGTCCTTTGCACTCTGCTTCAGATATTTCTTGTAATGCTTGTGTTAAATTTTCTAAATAATCATTCTTTTTTATAACACCACCATCAAAACTTAATTTTTTTTTAATAAATTTTGTAAATATTTTGAAATCTTTGTTGCTAACTGATAAAATATATATATTATAACCTGTATATAAAATTAAATCATCATTATTTAATACTTTACAACACTTAAATTCTTTATCAATCATAAGATCATATTCATCAATTGTTGATGATTCTTCTTTCATTCCATCATTAATTTTTTGTGCTTTTATATTAATATTTTTAAATTTATTATCATATTCTATTAACCATTTAATTGATTTTCCAGTTTCTATGGTAAATTTTGCTGGTCTTTTAGGAAACTCAAGTGCTTTAAATATTTCTTGTAATATTTTTATTGCATGTATATAATAATTGCTCTTTAAAGGTATTGTTTGTTGAATACCATCTAATTTTTCTTTGTTGTCTTTAATGTATAATTGATTGTCTATAACTTTGGCTATTTTACCATGTGGTAAAATTGATCCAAATAAAAAATTTTTTTCACATTCATTTTCCTTTGTAAAATACTCTGTAATATCCATAAAATTATCAAGATTATAAGGATCCATTAATTTGTAATTATAACTTTTTGTGTTTTCATGATAATATATTACTA